GGCCAGACTCGGACCGAAGGAGGGCCTAAGATATTTGGCCCGAAAGAGACTAGTATGGCCCGACTCGATAAAAATGAAGCCCAAAAAATGTTTCGACCGTCGACCCGACTCGAAAACGGCAACCCTACATATTAGTAAGGATATAACAGGAAGAAAGTATATTGAATATATAAAAGTTAAATTTGTGCATGGATACTTTGATGACATTCTTCAAGAGCTTTTGCTGCACCAATAACGACTTTTTTTATTAGATCATAAAGATCATATGCTTCATTATTTCTATTAGTATTCCTCATATCAATTATATATTTAAGCAAATCCATCCCACCAAGTTCCATAACAATTGATACTCGATGGTTTCGTTCATCAATCATACTTAAATAAGTGAAATAATTTCATAAATAAAATCATCAACTTATCCTTTCATTATTTTTAAGATATAATTTTTAATAATGAGAAAAGTTCTAACTTTTCAAATTCACGGATCCCGATTATGTATTTTATTTTTAAATGGTACCAGGGTATCCCTTTTACCATATTTATAAGAAATTTGCCATATATTGAGAATTTTGTAAGGCAAAAAGGCAAAAATCTTCCATTTTCAACAAAAAATATATTCATTGAAACCGGTTCCGGAGCCCAGTCCAAAACCGGTTTCTGGCATTTATCGGTTTCACGGTTACATTTACGAAACTAGAACCGCACCGATTTCGGAACTGGAACCCCCAAATCAGTGGTTGTTAGGTTAAAAATGGGTAGGCCAACTATACGCATTTCTGGCAGTACAGAGATAGGTTTTTTCGTTAGGGCTTTAAAAACAGGCTAAAGCAGTCTCAAAATAAAATACCGTATTATCTCTAATTAAATTGCGGAAAATGAAGTATGTAGAATGAAAGCGGATCGAAATAAAAACTGCAAATTTTATTAAAATTACTTACCTTCCGATATATTGTATAATTCTTTCTTCTCCAACAAAACTTTTCAATATTTTAATTTCGCTTATTGCATGAGCATGTTCACGTTCAGTATTACATACTGAAACTTTCAATACAACACATTCGTTACCCCAAATTGCATGGTAAATCTTTAAAAAATATTAAAACAAATTATCAAGTTGTTAAAAAATATAACAAGTTATTTAGAAATTCATTGTGAAAAACAGTGTGTGAACACTTCCAGACGTTTTATATGTAGACCTTGGAATGATTTTGATCTTTCCAAAAGGAGAGATTGGTTAGTAAGGGTGTCCATTTATATGGAAGTCCATATTTTTTTCCTGAATCCCTATGACTAAGCAATGTACGAAAAACATGTTTTTGGCTTGTTTTAGGGTTTCTAGAAAAAAAATTCCGGAAATTTTCCCGAGCGGGAGTCGAGATACCTTAGCATCACTAGTATGTGTTAATACCCCATAAGATTCACTAAAAATTTATTTTATTACTTACATTTCTATTTTGGTTATTATAGATTGCTTTAATATCCAAGTTAATATCTCTTCCATCCTCAAATGTTAATTCGAAATTCTCATTAAAATCATACAATTGAAAAGCACCACAAGGGCAGTATTCGACATTTCCATGTGAGGTAGATGCTTCAGGGTTATAATTAGCTTTAAATAATTTAAATGTTATAAGTTTATAAATGGCTGTTTAAAACTTCTCGAAGAATTTGCACCTGGACTATGGCCACCACGAACTGGAATATGGCCACCATGATTTGGACTATGAGTATAATCCTTGGAGAACATACAGCCAGAAAATGTCTCTAAAAGTTAAAATAATTTTACTATGAAAAGTCAATTCTTGATTTAAATTTAATTCTATAACGACTAGTTTTCGGTGCGGTATCGCGGTATTTCAATTTCCGGAACTACGGTACCGTCACCGAAAAATTCATTTGCCAAAAACGAGTCAGAATTAAATTTAATTTTACCTCGAAATTTTAAAAAGAATAAAATTAATAATTGTAGTTTTAAAAATTTCAACTTAAGCATTATTTTCTCTTAAATTATTAAAATTTATATATTAAACAGTAATATAATTAAACAGTAAATAAATATTAAATAAACATAAAATTTTAAATTATTTTTAAAAATTATTTTCTATTATATTTCTGCACAAATGATTGTACATATCGGTTTCTGGGCGGAAGTTTAAAAGTTTTTTTTCTCAAAAACTTTCTAAGCGATTTTAATTTTTATTCTAAGCGATTTTTAATTTGAATACCGTAAATATTCTAATATAAGCCCTGGGCTTATATTTTTCAATACCCCCCCCCCCCCCCCCGATCGGGTAACCTTATAATATGGCACGGGCTTCTATTCTTTAATACCACTCATTGAGTGGGCTTCTATTAGGGCATGGGCATGGGCTACCGTATACCGTTTATCTGAGACCCGTATACCGTTCCGTTAATTTTATCAAAAAACCCGTTTACCGTATACCGTTTAGCTAAACGGTTTTGTGTTACCCTATTTTAAAGCATAATGTTTGCATAACTTGTTAAATAATTTTTTATTAAATTCATTCTGTGTATAAAAATTTAAAATAAATTTATAAAATATACCAGGGCTTTGATCTCTAAAATCCGAACAATTAAAGGAAAAATTATGTTGACTTGAGCCAGGCCCGTAGCCAGGATTTTTTTCTGGAGATGGGGGGGGGTCAAGGGGGGAGCTTTTGCTATCCCAAATTTTTGGTGCCTTCGGCGACAAAAATTTTTATTTTCAGCGCCGCAGGCGAAAATTTTTAAAATTTTAGATGGCTGTTGGCCAAAGAATTCACTTTTTAGCGCCACAGGCAAAAAATTTTTTAATTTTGGAGCTCAAGAAACAAGATTTCATACATTTTCAGCGCCGTAAGCAAAAATTTGCGGATTTTGGAAGGCGGATTTTGGAACTAATTAGTTCCGGAACTGGAACTGGAAATTTGACATCACTGGTACTGATTACTTAATACATACAAGAATTATATAAAACTGACAATCCCACTAATTACTACAAGATAATATTTAAAAAAACACATTACTTATTACAAAAACTTGATTTAAAATTTTACAAACATTATGCTTTAAAATTAAGAATATTTTAATTTTTAATTAAAAGCCCCCTTATTAAATTTTATTTAAAAATTAAATTAATTTATTCAAAAATTTTTTATTGACAAGCAAAAATCAATAAAATTTATTTAAAATTTTATATACATACATGTATATACATACATTTTATGTATGTACATACATTTTATGTATGTATATACATACGGTGTTGCGACAATTGAGGATACGCACTTGAGGATATGACAAATGAGGATAAAAATGAAAAATAAAAAAGACTTGAAAGATCCATAAAACTCGGAAGACCTCCACTTGGAAGACCAATAATGAAGAATTCTTCCCTTTCCAGCGCCGCAGGCGAACATTTTTGAATTTCAAAAGGTCAAGGATCACCTTTTTTTATTATTATTTTAATCCTTAATTGTCGTCCTCATTTGTCATATCCTCATATGTCGTCCTCATTTGTCGCCCTTATATGTCAGATCCTCAATTGTCGTCCTCATTTGTCATATCCTCAAGTGCGTATCCTCAATTGTCGCAACACCGTATGTATATACATACATAAAATGTATGTATATACATGTATGTATATAAAATTTTAAATAAATTTTATTGATTTTTGCTTGTCAATAAAAAATTTTTGAATAAATTAATTTAATTTTTAAATAAAATTTAATAAGGGGGCTTTTAATTTAAAAAAATTCTTAATTTTAAAGCATAATGTTTGTAAAATTTTAAAGAAAGTTTTTGAAATAAGTAATGTGTTTTTTTAAATATTATATTGTAGTAATTAGTGGGATTGTCAGTTTTATAAAATTCTTGTATGTATTAAGTAATCAGTACCAGTGATGTCAAAGTTCCAGTTCCAGAACTAGAACTATGGAACTAGTAAATGTCTGGAACTAGCTTTAGAACTAGTTCTTGTGGGTATATGTATCTTTGACAAAATTTCCTCGACGAAGTTTACGGGATTTTTAATATTGTTGTAATTACCTGCAGCGCGCTGAAAATGGAAGAAATCTTGTGAATTAGTCTTTTAAAATTCTAAAAATTTTCACTAAAGAATTTCAAAAATGGAGTTCCGGTACTGGAACTATGAAAATTAAAAACCTAATTCTGGAACTGGAACTACATAGTTCCAGAGATTGACATCACTAATCAGCACTGTCAATTCAATAGCAAAAGGTTGATGACGAACACCTTTTTAAATTTAGATCTCTCTCTATTTACAGTATATTTTTTAATCATATTCTGGTAACCCCGTTCCCCGACCGGAAAATAATTTTTGAAATTTCGAAAAATCAAAAAATTTCCCCAAAAATTACATTTTATTATTATTTTTGAAAGAAAATGAATAAATTATCGAAATTCTCATTGATATTTGTTCTGTAGATTTGCGTTTGAGTGGTTAGTTTCTCGGGTTCTTTTGTATCGGTTTACATGGAGGGTAATTTCCTTTCCGATTTTTGTAATTTTTTAAATCGGCAATTTTTCTATAATTTTTATTCAATCTTTTTTTGAAAAGGCAAAAAATCTGGCTTCTTGGCCTTCCAAAATTATGAAAAAAATTTTTCTGCTGTGCAAAGGAAAATTAATAAAATTATCACATAAATTTTGTCGAAGGATAAAGTAATAATTTTGAATTGAATATTCCGTGACTTTCTGTCTGCACATAAATTCAGCAGTTTTTTATTATTTAAAAACACAAAATTATATGAATAAATCACAAATAAATATGGACGTTTATTTAATAATATCAATTAGTTTACTAAAATTCAATTTTGGGATGATCATCTTCAGAAATAGGGGATGAGCGGATTATTCTTTTAATCATTGCTTTTAACTAAAAAATTATTTTTTTATTGTAATTTCTTGATTTTTTTGGAAATTTTTTTGAAATTGTGAAATTTTTCAAAAATTTTTTGAAATTTTCGAAAAATTTTTTTTCAAAAAAATTTTTTTGAAATTTTTTTAATAAAAAATTTTTTCTTTACCAAATTATATCTCGGAACTAAAGGATAATAGCGAGTATGTTGATATGCTCTAGAAAGGTCCTTTACTGCCGTTCTCAATGCCAAATATTTATGAATGAGACGGTAAAGTTCTGTGCTAAGTTGACCCATCAAGTTGCGTAAATCTTCCATTGATTTCACTTTAAAAATTTAATTTTAAAAATTTTTTGTGAAATTATTAATATACTTCTTAAAGTATTTAATAAAGTAGAGCCCTTTGCGCGTTCAGCAATACACATTGTTGTTCCGAGAAGTTGTGCAATTGCCCCACCAGGCTTGGGAGAAGTTTCGTTTCGCCCATATTGTTCATCGAGCAAATTGGCAACCCTATTTAATTTTTAAAAATTATTTCATGTTAGATATATTTTTTTCATTATATTTTTTACTCAATTTAACGTAACCCACAATTGATGCCTCGATTTCAGTTAAATTCTCTAAATTTACATTGGATGACAGAAAAGTTAATTGGGAAAGAAGAAAGAAAAGTTGCGCGCGATTTGTCTCTCCAATCTGAGTGTTATTTCTTTCTCAGGATGCCCGCGATTTTTATGCTATCCTAGAATGATCAACGATACTCCAAATAATGAATACACTTGATTTTGGGCTCTGTATACATTAAAAAATCATATAGCATTTAAAAAGACTGGGAGTATTGTATGAGAAGAGAATCGAGATATGTAGATATCTCTAAAAATATCTATTTATTGTTCGAGCTCTCGATTCGGTTCGAACACACAGGGGTCGATCTGAATCCCGATTTCCGAAAATTTAGGATAATTTCCGATTTCCGACTTTTGAGCCATTTCTGATTTCCGACAGTTCCGATTTCCGACACCTTCGTCTTCTCCGATCGACCCCTGCTAGTATTTATGATAGGGGAATTTTTTATCAAAAATAAACTATTTGTATATATCCTCTACCTAATAGCATATTCCTGTGGAGTTTCGGAAATAGCTTGGGGAGGTATATCAACCATTAACCAATATTCTCTTTCAACTTGTACAAGTTCATAAATCATTTTTTGCATCCTCATATATCTCATAATTAAATTATGCTGTTTAGATTTTGAATATTCCTCCTCCATTCTTTTTATTGCGTTTCGAAGACGTTTATAACTTTTGAGAATATTTTAGGATTTTGATAAAAGATTTAAAATTACGGTTCGGATAAGCGAGATGTAGCTCTATATTCTTTGTATACAGTATTTGTTAATTGTTCTTTATTGTTGGTTATTGGACCTTTAATTATTAAAAAAATTTTTTATTATTATCAACGGTTCTCTTGGAGACAGGAAACGAGGTGAAACCCCGGCCTGCTTTCTAGCCCTCTTCCCTCCATTTTTTGGAGGTTCTGTGGACAGAGCCATAAAAGGGGATTCCCGTCTTCCCTTTTTTCTTGCAATCCCAATCCTTTCATTCAAATTCCTTAAAATTTCGCTCTTTTTATTTCGCTCCCTACTTTCCTTTAGCTATTTACTAAAGAATTTAGCTTTTTAATCTTTTGTGTTTAAGGGTAATTAAAAATGTTTTCTTTTTAGTCAAAAAAATTTGTTAGCTTATTTAATCGTTCCACAAAATGGGAACAAAAAATCGGCGGATAATTGCTGTATGAACAAAAGACAAAATATTTTTAGCCTACGAATTTTAAGGATACGTTGGAATTTATTATTTTTATTTACTTATCAGATTTAGAATATTAAATCAGATTTAGTAAATAATTAGTAATATTAAAAGATTAAGAAGAATCTTTCAAAAATTATCCCAAAAATCTTAAAAATTAGGTAAAAAATGAAAATTTCTAAAAACAAAAGGACCTAGAAGGACCTAGAATTTTATTAAATTTTTAAATTCTGGGATAACAGAGCCAGAATCGACAACCGTGTCTCATGTTGATTAAATGGACCCGAAAACCAATAATGGACCGAAATTATAAAGCAACCGAAACCCAGGGGTATTTTTAATTGGGTTGGACACTGTCCACAAAAGTCAGTGTATTTAGCGAATAAAACAGTGTAAAAGGCAAGGAAATTAATAAAATTTATTTTTAAGTACCGTTAGGTATTGTTGTCCCATTCCCTCCATCTTTAGCTAACGAGAAAAATACGTTGAACATATCTTCAAAAATTTAGAAAATTAGAAAAAATTATTTTTAATAACCAAAAAATATATTTTTGGTCAACTAATTGAATTTATATATTTTTTAAAAAAATATAAAAATAGAAAAATGGAAATGGCAGGTGGCATTTTTTGAGAGTTTTTTCTCGCCTAGTCAACTTACTAGACAATTTTTTTGTGTGCCTTTCAGTCATGCATAAATTTCTTTTTTTTCGCCTTTTATTATTTTGTTAAATAAATAATGCAAAAATTTTTAGTGTCAAAAGAAGAAAAAATTTTTTTTTTATTAAAAAAAAGAAAATTCCCAAGAGTATATATTGCTTACTTAGATTTATTTTTAAATTTTGAAAAAAAAATAAATTTATTCTCATAAATATTTTTGGACATTTTTGTAGTTTAAAAAGAGTGCATGGATTTAATTTATTTTTTATTTATTGTTGCATTTTTGACAGAAAATTAAATTAAAAAATTTTTTGGGAGGGAGAAATTTTGGTACTATGCGTTTATATCCCCACATTTCTGCAAATGTTTGTCCGCACTTTTTCCCTTTCTTTCTCCTCTCATAAAGATTAGAAATGGTCAATTATTAATACACCTTATTTTCTTTTTCTTCTCCTTTTTTCTCCTCTCAAAAAGATTAAAATGGTCAAGTAAGAATAAAAACCTAAGAAATTTTCTCACAGATAATAAAAAACGTCAAATACGATAACGCATCATTCATATAAAATGGCAATAAAAATGAGAAGTACGCCAGTTAATATTATCGTTTTTGAATTTATTTCCAGATCATGAATTTTAAGAAGCTTCCTAAATCAGAAGAAGCAGCCATATTATTTTTACAATTAAAGAACATTCTACTGACAAATAAAATTTGTGCAAATGGCCACAATATGAAGTTAAGCATTGGAAGGCAAATTAGATGGCGATGTAGTAAATCTACATCCCAATTGTCACCATTCTTGAATTCATCTACTGTTGGGCTTTTGAGTATTCTTACTTTTAATCTTTGAGAGGAGAAAAAAGGAGAAGAAAAAGAAAATAAGGTGTATTAATAATTGACCATTTCTAATCTTTATGAGAGGAGAAAGAAAGGGAAAAAGTGCGGACAAACATTTGCAGAAATGTGGGGATATAAACGCATAGTACCGAAATTTTTTAACTCTAGGAAAAAATTAATTTATGTGACTGACAAAAATTTTTTATTTTTACTTAACCCAGAATGTACACCTGGCCCGAATCCCAGAACGAATAGGACAGTAGTTATTGTTTGGGATCCCAATACTTGAACTTATTGAACTTAACACAGAACTATAACTAATTCTAAATAGGACAGCAATATTTGGGATCCCGCAAATTAAACTTAATCAAGAAATATACCTAATTCAAAGCGGTATCTTTCTGAAAGCGAGTCTCCCTGGTGAGATATTATTCAAGTCTCCTTAAATGATCTCCCGTTGAAAGACCCGCGGGTCTCCTTGAAATCCGTTATAAACTTATAGGTACAAGTAGAATAACCCGTATAGCAACATTATTCTGATTGCGACGTTCATACTACATATTACCAGCTCCTTTACTCGAATAAACTACCGTATTTCCTCCAAAATAGCCCCCACCCAAAATAGCACCCTCCAGAGGTCGACGAAAAAATACCCCCGGGGCTATTTTAGAGGATTTACGGTAATTAAAACTTAAATGTTAATCCTCCCCCTTTTAAATACTTATATTTTAATTTTAAATAAGCTAATTTAATCCAAAAAATATAATTCTTCTAATCCTCACCTTTTTGAAAAATTTTTCCTATTAATTCGTTAACATTTTCGGTACTTTGACTTTTTGGTGTTGAAGTGTGTTTAAAATCTGTATCAATATCACCAAAAACCGACCACGCGACAACAGACCTTTTTAAATAAAATAAATTCAATAAAGCATATAAAAATTAGTCAAAGATTAAAAAATGCTTTTAAGTCAAAGCTTAAAAGCTTAAAAATTATTTTATAAAATTTTTTTCTTAGTAAATTTATTCAAAAAGGAATAAGGCATGTCTAAAAATGTTTAAAGTGGTTTTTAATTATTTTTATAGCACTGTTCTAAAAATAGAATCTAAAAAAGGAGAAAAAGCAAAAAATAAAATTAGAGGGCAATTATAGCATGTAGAGATAGAACTTGGAGGGTCGTACAAACTTTTTCGACATTGATATCTCGGACAATCCTTGCTTGATAATTGAGCTTTTGTCCGAGATCATGTCACGGTCTGACATCTAATTTTCTATTTTTTTCTCCATAATTAGGGTTGCCGATGTGGACCGGCTCGGACCGAAAGATCGAGTCGGGCCTGAGATATTTGGCCCGGAAAAGACTTGTACGGCCCGTCTTGATAAAAATGAGGCCGTAAAAATGGTTCAATCGTCGGCACAACCTTATCCATACTATTTCTTTTGAATCTCCAAAATATTCCTAATGGATAAAATTAAGTTTTTAAACTTTGGTCAACTAGATACTTCTCTAACACTTCAGTTATTACAATTTTTAGTCTAAAAATCGTTCAGTCCCTCTATGCTTTTTGGGCATTTACAGGCATAGGCCTATATCTCAGACCAAAAAAGAGTCAGTATACTAATTTTGGTGTAAATCTACTCGATTACACTTCAGAATTATTTTTAAAAACGGCCAATATTCTAGCAAAAAATTATTCGGAAAAATTTTTTTGGAAAATCGAAAAATGGTTACTTTAAAGAAAAAACATCGCTGTCATCCCCACAATTATTTTCATCATCCCCCATCATCGCTGGAGAACTGTGTTGTCTGTGGAATTGCTGCAAATGACGTGCCAGTCTACAAGCTGTACTTCCATAATTACCAAAGAGAGTTGTAGATCTTTTTTGTTGTTCTAAATTGGCTGGTAATGGTTTTGAAGGATTTCTTTTAGAAATAAAATGGGGCATTTTTTAAAGATTTTTTAAGAGAGAAAAGATTTTTATTTTAATTTTGAAAATTTTTTAAATAAATTTTTTAATAAATGAAAGTTATTAAATAATATATTAAATAGAGATCAAACTCGGGCTGGGTCAAAAATCGAATTTTTTGGGACCGGAAACCTGGTATTTTGATAAAAATCCGTTATTAAATAATATAGTAAATTATTTTTTTTTTTTTTGGTTTTCGTGGTTTTCGTGGTTTTTTTTTTTTTTTTTGGGTTTCGTGGTTTTCAGGGTTTTAAGGCGAAGAAGCCCAGGCCGGAATAGGACATTCCGGGCTCGGAAACCGGGTATTTTGATAAAATCCGGATATTTCATAGGTTCCGGATTTTAGGGGGTTTAAGCCGAAAAACCCCGGCCAGATCTTAAATGTATTAAATAAAGTAGAACACAGGCTAGATCTGCAATAGAATTTTCCGGCCCCTGAAAATTTAGACAAAATTAAGGGTTTTTGGGGGTTTCGTGGGTTTAAAACGAAAAAACCGTCTCAGTTTTCAAAGTAAAACAACCCTTATGCCGGCCCGGGTCCTTGAAATTTCGAGCTAATTTCGATAAAATAACAATTTATTATTTCTAAATATATTATGCATTCTAAAAATATTATGCATTAAGTAAGCTATTTTTACTACAATTTAAAAACATTATAATTATTTATAACAATTAGCATTTTTGTTATTTAAATAATTTGTTGGGGTTTAACAGTGGATATATTAAAAAAAATAAAATGTTGGGGAGAGAAAATATTTTTTATATATTTAATAAATACAAAACGCGTAATGGACATGTATAAATTTGTGGCTTCATTAAAAATTGATGGAAAAGGAATTCTTCGCTATGGAAGGATTATCTTTTTTTTAAATAAATAAATTATTTTATAAAAATTGATAATTATTTAATAATAAATGTTTTTAATAAATAATTTTGTAGTGATATTAAAATAAATCCGGTTTTGCAGTAACTCGGAAGCAGGGTATTTTGATAAAATCAGAGGTTTTCGATATTCCGAATTAGCTCGGAAAAGCTTTAAGAAATCTAAAATATTTCCAAAAAAGGCAAAATACCGTATTTTCTCGATTAATTCCTCTGGGGAATTATTTTTTCAACCCATACCTGGCACGGGGAATTAATTGAAGGAGGGGAATTATTCGAGTTTTGGCATTTGAAAGTGCAGTAGGGTATTTGGGGGTGGGGAATTATTGTTTCAACCCAACTCTAGCCTGGGGAATTAATCGAGAGGGGGAATTATTCAAGGGAGGGCAATTAATCGAGAAAATACAGTAAATATTAAGGTTGTAGGATAGATGGAAATCTTCGGATATCTGGATCCTGATCCGAACCGAAAATTTCCGGATATCGGGCCTTTTTGGATTCGGATATCCGGATCCGACAACCTTAGTTAATACAAAATATATCAATTATTACGCTAACTCCGTGATTTTGTGCAGTTCTGAATCTTTTTTTTTTCATTTTTCTTTATTTATTTGAGCAAACCACTAGCGCATTTGCGCAATTATAGTGGTGAAAAAAATACAAATGAAAGTAATACAAAAAAAGGGTCATACAAAATAAGTTAAATTAAATGAAAATCTGTAAAAAAAAATTGAAAAATATATATGTGAGACAAATATATAGGTTAAATTTGTAAATACCATTCAAAACTCAGTACATAGTTTTCAATAATTCCCTGAATTCCTTGGGCTTATTAATTTTCATAGACTCTAAAGAAAGGCAGTTCCATTCTTTTACTATTCTGTGGAAGAAATTTCTCTGGCTTTTAGTCGTGTGGCTTCTTACTCTTAATAGTAATGGCCTACGTAATGATCTATTTGAGAAGACAAAACATTTTTTAGTATTTAAACATGTTAACCCTTTAATTATTTTAAATGTAGTAGTCATGTCAGTTATTTTTCTTCTAATATTTAGTTCTTGTAAGTTGCAAATTTTTAATCTCTCATCATATTTTTTATAAACTAGCCCACATTTCTTAAATGCCATTCTTGTGAAAAATTTTTGAACTTTTTCTATTTTAGTTATATCTTTATTTTGAATCGGATTCCATATTTCGGTAGCGTATTCTAATTGTGATCTAACATATGATTTGTAAGCTAGAATTAAAGTGTTTAATTTCCTTGTTTTCATTATTCTTAATAGTTGATGGCTTTTTAGATAATCGTTTCTAACAATCCTACTTATATGATCTGTAAATGTTAGTTTACTATCAATTATTACGCCTAAATCCCGAATATTCGTGCACTTCTGAATCTTTTTTTCATAAAGATAATAATCATCCATATTATTAGTCTTACCTATGTATAATGAAAAACATTTTTCAGGTGATATTTCTAGTCCGTTAATTTGGCCCCATTTTTCTAACCTTATAAGGGAGTTAGAGAGATCTGAACTCTTATCATTTTTATGAATTTTATATAATTTCACATCATCTGCATACATTTTTATCCCAACATTTTCAGAAATATAGTTTGGTAAATCGTTTATAAATATTAAAAATAATAAGGGGCCTAAAACACTACCATGAGGTACTCCAGAGTGAGTTGACTTATTTTCAGATAACTTATCATCTATTTTGACTCTAAAGCTTCTATTTGTTAGAAAATTTTCAAGAAAAATCATTAAATTTTCAAGAAAATCATTTTTCATAAAGATAATGTTAGATTCTAAGTGAAATTCAGATAAAACTAAGTGTACATTGATTATAAGCCGGGAAAAGGTCCTTAATCCACAAATCCTTAATCTAGTTCGAACAAAATTATATTTTAAATTTTATTAATTTCATTATTCAATTAAACAAATAAATTGTTAGTTATACAAATAAAAAGTTTAATCATTACAAATAACATTTCCTTAGAGTTAAATTTTAAAATTCTTACTAAAAAATATTATATTTCCTGGTTATTAAATGTTTTTAAAAAACTTTTTGAAAATAATTTGTCATTAAATGTATTAGCATAAATTTAAGCAGTCTACATATATTTTAAACAAATTAAAAAATTTACTTCGACATGCAAAAGGTTTGTAAAAAATTTTTTTAATTTAAGAAGACCAAAACGATTGAAGGAATTTGAGTTTCAGATTTTTAAATCTGAAATACCCTTCCAGATATTAATTTATTCAAGTAATTTTGAATTATTGTCATAACCAGTGATTCGAAATTTCAAAACTTCTGAGTACACCGTACCACCCAAAATTTTAACCTAATACGTAGCATATATTCACATTTTTAGAAATGTGATTTGAAAAGCAATAGTCATAACAGAGCCCGAACGGTACCGTACTACCGACGGCATTTTTTGGTATTTATCGGTGTTTCGTATCGGTAGTACGGTCCGAAATACCGATCGATAAAATTTCGAACTTGATCGGTATTTATCGGTATCACTATTTTTTGGTATTACGTACCTTGGAATATTTTTTGGAATCATTGTCATAACCAAAATTACTGGTTATTTTTGTACTGAATTATTGAGTACGGTACGGGTACACAATTTTGAGCTCTAGTCATAAATATCTACCGGATTTTTATTTTAAAAATTTTTTGTGTAAAAAGTGTTAGAAATAAATATTTTCCCAGTTTCTTCACGTTCTCCTTGTTCTCTTTTTGGCAGCAGAAATTTTTTTTATCTCCGCTAGCCTTACAAACAAGAAACGTAAACTAGAAATAACAACTCTAGATAATGCTACAACAACAGAGGATATACAAAATGACCCAGCTAGGTGTACCCATGATTGGTGTGAATGGGATTGTGAATGTGGATACAGAGTTTGGGGATTTTGAATTTAAAATTTATTTTATAAAAAAATTTTTTTAATTAACAGAATTGCAAAAGTTGTAAGTGCAAACGCTGGTGTTGATTAGAACAAAAAATGTAAAAGATAAGTTAAAAGATGGAAAATAATGTGAAATAAAGAGAGATTAAATGATTAAATATAAAGTTGTTAAAAATAAATATTAAATAAAATAAATAGTTTTATTTATTTATGTAGTAGAAAATAATTTTTAATTAAAATTTTCATCGCCATAGTTTTAAAATGGGTTCGATCGTTTCGCTAAGTTGCAAACATTTAATTGGTATTTAAATGGGAACAGGGATGTTTCGAAACAAAAAAATCTTCGAAATCGAAATTTCGAAACAACTCTGAACGGGACTATGAGAGCTCATATTACGTTTGGTAATTAATTAATTTTAACTTTAAATAGTTTTTTAAATAAAATATAAAAATTTACAATTAATAAAAAAAATATTGGAAAATTTTAAATTAAGGAGACAAAATTTTTTAGCTACTCCTTTATTTTGACTTCTTAATTTAGTGTTGCTTTTCATGGAAAATTCTTCTAAATTTGTACATTTTCACTCATCCTTTGCCTGTTTTATCTATGAATAATTTTAATTAATTTCTGTTATTTAAAAATAGGTCCCATCGCTTTTTGCATCAGAATTTTACTCGAGTAGTCTCGACTTAGCACTCAAACTCAGTCCAAAAGTAGGTGTTATTCAAGTTGGCTCGGCAGGCCTTTTTGAACTAGTAGATTAATGATCGGACCGAGACAAGAATTCATACAAAAATTTCTTTCGGTCTCGATTCTCGTACCCTCCCAGCCCGTTTATATTTAGCGATAATATGACTTTCGAAATGTTGTAATTTGTGGAACGTGATAAACTTTTGTGTGAGGGCTTCGTCTACGAACTCTGGGAGGTTTATTTTTATTAAAGAAACTTCCAAAAACACAATCATTCTCCACTACATATTCGAGCACCTCATAAAGTGATTTTTGTTTTGGAGAATAAAATATACTTAAATTCCAATGTCCCATGAAAACATAGGAACCCTTCATTTAAAAAGTGCTTTTATTAACCTCTAATGGATGATATTTAAAATAAACAAAATCTTCCTCCTCTTCAACAGTTAAACTTTTAGAAATTGAATTTAAATTAGAATTATTTAAATTCA